CGAACGATCCGCTCAGGAAGGGACATGCCATACATCAGCGATTTCACGAAACCGGGGTGAGCTGTTTCCTGTAATGCAATTTCACTGTCCGCAACCGTTTCACTAGCAGGCGTTGGGGGACCATCCATCCAGATTCCATGACAGGCCTGGCAATGGTATCGATTGACTGCCTTTCCCTGCTGGTTTGATTCAATCGCTTCCATCGGCGCGAGACAATCAGGACAGGCGAGCGGAGTTTCGCCCTCTTTGGATTCTTTGACCAGATACTCTGGCGTTGCCCCCAGGGAAGAATCTCTCCTCAAGTAATACCCGGAACATTTAGAACATCCAAATTCAAATTCTGATTCTGGCTTTGCAGAGAGCAAAACTCGACACTTGGGGCAAATCGCCATTGGTTTCATTGATCGATTCCAACGAAGTTCGTTTCTATTTCACATGAACATAGAGTGTACGGAATCAACCAGGCAACGGATCAAGAAAAACTAATCAGCTTCTAATGTCTCACATAGATTTTGAGCAGCTGATTTTACAATGGTGATGTACTTGCCTTTTTGCATTCTTCATTTTCCATTCTTCAATCACCATTTAGTATCATTAAATGGACGCCTTATCCTTGAACACAGGATAAGGACTCACTTCGTTTCAAGTGAGTTCAACCTTTCTTGGATACGGGCCTTGAAGTCGGCAATGATTCCAGCGGGGTCATCGTCAAAGGCTTGTTTACAGCCACTACAACAGACGTAGTAGGTTTCTCCCATGTAACTCACGGGCGTTTGTGCCGTGCCTCCGGTCACGACACACTCACGTTTTCCACCCCCAGGAAGTGCCAGCCGAGTCCCTGCGCGTGTATAACCAACCTCAGCGACTCGAAAGAAAGAAGAACCACCAGCTGATGTCTTCTCATGCAACACAAGAGTTCGCTTCTCATTCAGTGGAGTCAGAGTGATGCGGTGTCGCACTTCGTTGTCTTGGGCATTCGTTTCCAGAACCAGCTTTCCTTCTTGCCAATTTCCAGAATAGATTCGCAGTTCATCATCACCTGTTGAAAGTTTCAGTTGAAACTTTTCTTCGGGAGACCAGGTCAGCAGGCCTTCTTCGACTAACTTGCCGTCATTCACAAGGTACTTGATCGCGGGAGTCTCCTCGGAAAAATCCCAAACGAATTCTCCAGTCTGTCTCCAGGCCCCACGAGATGATCCGCGCCTGACCTGACCGGTCCCGCGCCATTCACCGATCAATTGGTTGAGCGATTCCAATGCTTCACGCGACTGCTTTGTCGAGGGTTCTCCACTTCCATGTTCCGCCAACAAGGGCAGACCAAGCAACAGCCCTGTTAATAAGACCGGACGGATCAGTGGTGTCAAAGAACAATTTTTCATGATCATCCCAACATAAAAATAACATTCCGCGAAATCCGGTACTCATTCTATTATAACACCGCTTGAACAGAATCAGACTGCTTGATTTGAAACAATGGTTATTCCGTTCATATCGATTGTAGCATGGTTCGTGCTGATCGCCCTGATTTCTGTCAGAAACAATCTTGTGCTTGGTACAGCGGCTGCGCGATCATCACTAATGAAATTCGATTGCACCTGATCTTTCTCCATGAAGAGAAGGCAGCAGGCTACTCGAACTCGTTTCATATCGTTGAAATGATTCAAGAACAAGCGAGTCCTATTTCCTGTCTAATGAGATTGCATTCGCAAGCAGTTCTTGCAGCGAACGCGACACCATTCGCAAACTGCTTTCATGGCAGAGGAGACGCAAACGAGAGAATCAGTAATAGACTGCGGAGAAACCCATGGTAAGTAACAATTATGGATCATCGATAGACAAGACTATCAGTTGGCTGCTGATGGGAATCCTGGTGATTATCTTTATCGCCTTCACAATCATGGGAATGAAGAACGTCCAGGCGACTGCTGAAAAGTCGAAAGATGGACGACCTGCTGAAGCGGTCGAAATTGAAATCGACATCAGCGGCGCCCCCAATTAGAGAAACGACGAACGCAGATTAAATCAGCTACTCTTTCTCTCGCGGGGCATCGTAGAGGATTTCCAGGCCAGAACGGTCTTTCAGGTTCCAACGCTTCCAGAACATCGCTCGTGCTGCAACAAGAATCAAGTGCCAGGTAGAATAAATACGTAGCTTCCGGCCCGATGTTTCCACGGGATGCTTGACGATCACAAACTTGCCTTGCGTTTGGATCGCTTCAGAGAGATACCGCTCTTCAGCAGCGAATTGTTCTGTGTCGAACCCGCCAACATTCTCAAAAACTTCTCGCAAGACATAGATGCAGCAGCCGGCTGCCCATCCGCTGTACTTTTGCCAGTAGGCTAAGAAGAGATGAGACAGCTTTCGCTGAAACCAGGTGATGTTACCATCGAACTCGACGGCTGCACCGCCTCCGACTGCTCCATTTTCTAGTTCCAGGAGCACTTGTTTTAGAGTCGTCGGATTCAGTTGCGTATCCGCATCGAGAAAGAACAAGATTCGCCCTTGGGCAACTCCTGCTCCGGCATTACGAACCGCTCCGATATTGTGCAGTTCGACATCGATAACTCGAGCCCCACAGTCACGGGCGATCTCGGCTGTCGCATCGTCAGACGCATCATTGACGACGATAACTTCGCTTGCGACATCAACCGTTGCAACGGACTTAGCGATGGACTGTATTGTGGTTGCCAGCAACAGTTCTTCATTCCGTGCCGGGATGACAAAAGAGATTTCCGGCATTGGTTGTGTCGCTTCTTCTTGACGATCCATGTCAGGCAGGCTCTGTACTTACTCTTTTAAAGTCCAATTGAAACCGGCTCATACTTTCTGACAGGAACGGGATCGACACGATCATGTGTCTCGACCCAGTCCGCTTTTCCATCAGAAGAATTTCCTTTGGGAACAATCCAGATATTCCGGTAGACGACCGGGTTGCCGTGGTCCTGGAGCTTCGTTGGTAATAGAGATGGTTCTTCTTTCTTGCCAGCGCCCGTTTTATTGGGGATCTCAGCATTGTTGTGGATCAGGACGCCGTTGTGCCAAACGCTGATACGCATATTGGAGATTTTCTTTCCGTTCTCATCGAATTCCGGCGAGGTCAAATCAATGTCATAAGTTTGCCATTGCAGCGGAGGCAAGCACATGTTCACGTCTGGACGCTTGGTTTTGTATAAGGCACCACATTCGTTCTCGACACCTTCCAGTCCGAATGAATCGAGAACCTGAACCTCATAACGACTTTGCAGATAGAATCCACTGTTCCCCCGACCCTGCCCACGTGCCATCGGTTTGTATGGCAAACGGAATTCACCATGCAGGCGGAAGTTTCGATATCCGGCCTTGGTCTCTGTGCCTGCGGCCAGGTAACCATCATCAGTCATCTTCCCATTCTTGAAATGGTCGGTATCTGAGCCATCAAATAAAACAATTGCACCATTTGGTGGAGCCGCTCCCATTGTTGGACTGATGCGCTGGACCTTCTGCAATTCACCGGCCCGACGACCATCTTTCGTCATGATAACGGCGACATCTTTATCGACTTGGACATCGTAATTTTCACTGTGGAGCGTCACGACATCACCTGTCATCTCACCGCTTAGTTCATACCGAGTCCCGCCGAACCAACCCTCTCCAGGGAGGCCACCATAGTACTTGGAGGCAGCGAACTTACCGTCGCCCAAGGCAATGACCTGCAGTGCTACAGGTTCAGAACTGCGTGCTGAAGGACGAGAACGCTGATAACCGCGGTACTCTCCCTGATATGCATAGTCAGTATCGACCTGAGCAGGATCGGTGTAGACCGGTCCGTCTTTCTTATCAGCTGCTTCCACAGCTGGGACGATCACCAATAAACAAGCAGCAGATAGAAAGAGTGAACTCAGGAGTTTCATCGACAAATCCAAAAAACGAAGAAGAAGTACGCAGTCGAGTATATTGATGGACGTACGAGTGAACTTTCAACAACAAAGTTGGAATTTCAACGCATCTCGTGAAAAGGTCTCTAAACCACCGACATGATAAGGAAAATTAGCAGACTCAGCATTAGATGGTCATTGCGTTGAAACCACCATCAACCACAAGATTCGCCCCTGTGAGAAAACCACCGGCCTGGTTGGATGCCATCAAGAGGACAGCCCCGGCCAATTCCTGTGGTTCTCCGAATCGGTCCATCGGCGTATGACGCATGATGCTTTCCACCCGGTCAGGGGTCAAAACCTTTCGATTTTGTTCCGCAGGGAAAAATCCTGGTGAAAGGGCATTCACACGAATATTGTGCTGTGCAAATTCCCTGGCCAGGTTCTCTGTCAAATTTAAGACAGCAGCTTTACTGGCTGAATAAGTGAAGACGCGGGACAGAGGTTTAATTGCCGACAAGGATGCCACATTTATAATGGCACCACAAGTCTTCGCATCAATCATGAACTGCCCAAGGACCTGACAGGCCGCACGCAATCCGCTGAGATTGACCTTGAAAATTCGTTCCCATTCTTCGTCGCTGATTTCCATAAACGGTGTCGCCGAGTTCGTACCCGCCCCGTTAACGAGAATGTCACACTGCCGGTTGTTCTCTTTTAGCTCCGCGACGAGTTTGTCCAGATCTTCCCGTTGTGTGGCATCTGCTTTGAAAAAAGCAGCACGGTCGCTCCAGCGGTTGACCACTTCCTGTCCGGCTTCAGCATTACGCCCGACAACATAAATAAAGGCACCAGCAGCAGCCAGAGCATCACAAATCGCACCACCCAGGACCCCTGTCCCTCCAATAATTACGGCAGTTTTTCCCTCTAAACTGAATAGACTTGTCAGGTACTCTGTCGGTGATTGTTCACCCATTTTCATCACTTTCTTACATATTCGAAATAGCGATTTTCAAAACGTTTCATCATTCCAGAGTAATAGACTACAAGAATCTGTGCAGAATGAAACCAACAGCAGGTTTGCACCCATTGGAGCAATTCGCGACCATACTCTGCTGGAACCAATTCAATTCAAGGAATTAGCGATGTCTGATGAAGACGATGTGATTGAGCAGCAACTTGAAGAGCTTGATGAAAAGTCTGAAGAGTGCTTTCAGACTTGCCAGATTCGGACTGCTATTCGTATTGCAAAGGAAGCAACTCGACTGGCCAAAAGCCATTCGAATGTCATCCATTACATGCGCGGACTGTTCGATCAGATGCGTTTTGGACACGGCATGCTCGATCCACAGGCGACGCGAGAAGTCTCAGTCGAGCTTGTACTCTTGCTGGAAGACGAAGAGCAGGCCCGCCGCATCCAGCCGAATCTTGACGAAGGACACTACCACTGGCTCTGCTCCTGGATGTCCACCTGTGCTTACGATAATCTCGCAGAGGCAACAGGCACCATGTCCGGCTGCAATTCCCATGGCATGCATGAATGCATCAACGATGGCCTCCAGATCTGTCGCCAGACCGGAAAGATGGAATGCATCAAATGCTTTCGAGAATATGCTGCCGATGTGTATCTAGCTGCTGATGATTTCGACATGGTTCGGCACCAGTGCCAAACGTTCCTCGAATATCACCCAGGTGGTAATGACAACAAAGACCGTCGCTGGTCAGGCCACCATAAATTGGCCAAATTGCAACTCCTGGAGGGGCGGGTCGATTCAGCCATTGAGGATCTCAAGCAGGCCTATGAACTCGCTGGTGCCGAAGATGTCTATCTAAAACTGCGTTCCAAGGCCATCGTTGCGCTGACTCTGGATGAAGCACTGATTATGGCAAGTCAGCCACGTTTCGATTGGACCGAACTCAATGAAAAGCTCCCCGAATCAGGTGAGTGGCCCTTCTTTGAAGTGCATCGTGAAATGGTCGAGGCGCTCGCTCTGACTGTAGCAGAAGATTATGACTCTGCGATCGAAAAGCTGACGCAACTTGATCGACAGATGACGGAACTCAATTGCCGCAAGGAATGGTTTGAAGTCCGACTCCGTTTGATCGCTGCCTATCTGCTGAAAGGTGATCGACCTCGCGCAGAACGACTGGCCAAAGGTCTGGAAGCAAGTGCCGATGAAGCCCAGGACTTTTTAACAATGCGACGGCTCAAACATTTGCTGTCCTCAACAGGTGAAGTCTCTCCCATCGCTGCGATTCATGAGACTGCGTCGATCACCTCAGCGAATTCTGTAAACGGAGAAGAATCCTCGATAGAGAATACTAAGGTCGAGGAAGAGTCAACACCGCTGGAAGACCAACTGAATGAGTACATGCAACGCATCATGGAGGTCTCTGGTGATGATGAAGCGCGGATCGCACTTCTCGATGAATTCCTGGCAAACTCTCCTGAACAGATCGAAAGCAGCAAGGACGCAGCCTACCTCGTTCACTTTAGCCAGTTTCTCGTCCGCGGGACCGAAGACGCCTTGAAAGTCTGGCCGTGGGCAGAGGATATGCTCAAGAAATTCTCTGACGATCCAATTGTTGTAAGTGTTGTGGCGACATTGGGGTATTATTTCAAATCGGCAGATGGGGCGAACTTTGAGTTCATCTCACTCGATCAACTCGAAAAATGGTTTCGCCAGTCAACGAGCCCGCAAGTCGAGCATGCCAAGAACTTCGCACGCGCCGGATCATTCTTTATGGACGAAGGAGACTATGGAGAAGCCGAACGGAATTACTCACGGGCTTTTCGTCTCAATCGAGTTGATCCATCGATTGTGATTCCACTGGCGGATCTCTACCGTCAATCGGACCGAGTGCGAGATGGATTGGCTGTCCTTGATCTCAGTTTGCGTGAAGGGTGTGATGATCAAACCGTCGCGTGGGAAGCAGCCATGACCGCCCTGCAACTCGATCAGTTTGATGCCGTGCAGACTTATCTGGATAAGTATTTAGAACTGGGTAAGCCAGACGCCTGGGCGCACTACTTCAAAGCTCTGGCAGCCTACCATCTCGATCAGTTTGAAGAGTCCATCAAGCATCTCGACTTGGAACTAGAGTTTGATTTGCCTGGTCACTTTCATATTCAACTCCTCAGAACCTGCAACCTGATCGCTCTGGGTGACAATGAGGCAGCACAAGCCAGTTTTGACGATGTGCTGGCAACGCCACTGAGAGAGGTCGATTACCTCTCCCTGAGCCAACTCGTCCGTAATCTGGGCATCCTTTGGAATTCCGCACGCAGTACCGAGGAGTTCGCTGCACGCACCGAAAAACTGGAAGACATCATGCTGCGTGCCGGGTTGTTACCAGATGAGTATTTCGAAGCGCAGCGAGAAACAAAAGAAATCGAAGAGGAGATCTACCATTTCGCAGTGCAGGCCCACCAACCCCTCGATGAGTCCTGGTCCGATTCTCAAGGTTGCCTCGTTGGCCAAGAAGAATGGGACAGTTACGAAGCGGAATGGGGTGTTCTCGCTAAGGACGAAGAACAGGCGATCAACCTTGTATTAGAATACCAGTCTCGCTGTTTTCCACTTCCAGTTGAAA